GCGCTGGGACATGTGCGTACATCTGTTCGGAGAACAGCTGCAAGGTCAAGGTTTCGGCCGCACGCTCGCTTGGGGAGCTCCTGCGTTCGGTGATGGTGGCTGCAGCTCTCGTGCGAGTCAACGATCGGCCCTGCAGTGCCTCACGTCTCTCAGCACAGGCTCGCGTGCTCGACCACCACTTCGCGTGACTACACCCAGTCAGCGTCGGCGTTCGGTTCACACTAATTCAAGGCTCGCACTATCTGAGGTAACCCGAAAGAAAAAGGTTTTCACAAAACCAAGAAACATTAGGGTTCAGCAAAGACATTATCCCCCAGCATTTAGGTATTAACAAACTCGAAAGGTTCAGGGTTTTTAAAACATCACATCTAAAGGAAGCGAATATCGGCATCCTCAGCTAGAAATCATCCTCAACTCAGTGGTCATTGTCGAACAATGAAAATGATCTGCTCGTATGACTCTTCCGACTAACAGTGTCGGCCGTCACGTCAGCTCTTCCACTGGTAGCTAAACGTGCCAGTAGTCCTAACTGAGCTTAAATGCTACGCGGCTAAGATTTACGACTTCTGGATCTCATCACAGAGCCTCCTTGGTGGATTCGTCTCAATCGTGACTCGAATATAATTCATCAACGTTAAAAGCCGCGACAAATCGATACGGGTACGAATGGAACACCAAGAACGAAAGGCATCACAAAACCGAAAGAATGATAAAAGACAAGCGGAAAAACGAAAGTACTTGTCTTAATCAATACATAAAGTTGCAAATCTTGGAATGAAAACTCCAAACAAAACAAAAACAAGAGTTTTTAGAGGATTGCCAAAAATTCAAATAAAATACAAAGGTCGCTCTTGAAATTCCGAAGGAGAAGAACGGGAGCTTCTAAGAATTCACGATGGACACAACACAAAAATGAAAACGGCTCTGCATCAGGCTCGACTACCCTCCTTAAAAGATTTTCACGTACACCACTTTGGTTCAAGGCTAAAATAGATCACGAAAGACAATTATCGCCGTCTATACCGAAGCTAAGGTATTCTCAAGCTAACCTATGCCTCGACTTGGAAAATATTATGACAGATAGGGCCTCAAAACATCGGAAAAAGAAAATTTGAAAGAACTGCTCAAGACACACAAAGCAAATGAAAACAGGCATAATGGATATCGAAGACATTCCGGACATGGTACCTGCGTTGTTGGCTGCCTCGTCGTGGGTGATGGTGTAGACGCGGGCATAGCCTCCTGTCCCTTGCTGGTAAGGCGGGGGCTGTCTGGGCTGTTGCTTCTGCTGATGCTGATCCGGCCTTCGCGGTTCTGGGCAGTGAGGGGAGTAATGACCCTTCCTCTGGCAGTTGAAGCAAGTTATGTCGACAGCTCGACACATGTTGACCTCGTGGACTCGTCACATGCTCCACCTGGTGGGGTCCCAACAGGAATTTGGCGGAGAGGCTGGACAAACTGTGCAGCAGGCTGCTGCTGAGGCTGGCGCGGGCCATGATTAGGGCGCTTGCCCCTTCTTGCGGTTCGGATGATCATTCTTCCTCTTGCCAGAGCTAGTGGACGGGGGAGCTGAAGCATACGGAACCGGGTACGGATAAGGCGCCTGAGCAACAAGCGGCGGCTGATAAGACAAAGGCAGCATGAGAGGAGGTACCGCCTGGACAGGCTGAGCAGCATGATAAATAGAAGGAACAGGGTCTGCCGGGATGAGTATGCTCTCCACTCTTTGAGCCCGACTGACGGTGTCGGCATAAGACATCAGTCCGTGACTCCCAACTAGCTCACGGATTCTCGGATTCAGCCCTTTCAGAAATTTACTGGCTTTCTTCTCATCGGTGCTCACAGAATCACCAGCAATGAGGCACATTCGGGTGAAAGTGCGGATGTAGTCGCCACGCTGGTACCGCCTTGCTGAAGATGGTAGAACTCATGCTCCATGCGATCCCAAAAACTCTGGGGAAGAAATTTGCTACGAACCATTGCCTACATCTGCTCCCAGGTGAGGGCATTGAGCTCAGCCTCTGGCCTTCGAGCCCAGTGGTCGACCCACCAGTCGGAAGCATCTGTCTTCATCTAGAAGGCGGCGAGGGCTACTCGCTGTCTATCGGGAAGAGGGAGCACAGAGAAGATCTTATCAAGCTCCTTCATCCACTCAAGAACAACAGTGGGGGCCTCACTCCCCGAGAAAGTGGGCGAATGCATGCCCTAAAACTGGACAATGAGTCGGGGAAAATCCATGGCCGGAGGGGCCTGTAGACGAGGTGAAGATGGAGGCGGGGTTTGCTGACGATTGCGAGCATTGCGGACATTGCGATTGGCCATAGTTCTGATTGAATAGGCTGGAAAATTTAGCAAAATAAAATAACAAAGGGAGTCTAGAGTTCGCCATGGAACACTAGAGTTCAAAACATTTAATGGTGGATAGACTCCTAAGCCCTAACTAAATTAACAAAACCATAAATTCATACCTTGAGCTGGCGCGGCGAGACGAAGCGAGTGGTCAATGGTCATTAAACACTTAATCACATATGAACCAGTCTACAGAAAAGCAAGACTGGCTCTGATACCAAACTGTAACGCCCCGTTTTATTGTAAAGAATTTACCGCATTTATTTAATAAAAATCAGAGTTATTTTTTTTTATTTTTTTTAATCCAAGTTAAAACATTTATCGAGTAATGGGCGCTACTTATTAACCACAACAAATAAACACAACCAACAATCCAAGAACCTATACATGCTCGAGTTATCAAAATAACAATCCCACAGAAAATACGTCTCAAATTCATTTCAAAAGTCTAGCATGATCACGGTTCAACATACTTAAACTTAGTTCGAGAAGTGGAAGCAGTAAATAATTCAAAGCATAATAGCAAAATAAATAAGTATTAAGTTGAAGCGGAAGCATAGATTTCAACACATAATGACCACCATCTCGTTCATCCCACCGCCTCCAGCTCGTCTCAACCTAGAACAAATGAAGAGAAAAGACAACAAAGAAAATAATGGGGGTGAGCATAACCAACAAGCTCACCATTATCGCACAGTATATCTCGCATAACATTTTAAAACATCATAACCACAGTATTCAGTATGCATAGAATCCAACAGTCTAACTCCCTACTTGGCCCGATCGCAAATCTTCTATGTACATACAACAACCTTCCGATCACACACGGCAAGGAAGTAACTGGAAACCTTCACATCACCGAATGGCTACGGGCCTGGGATCCTTTCCAGGAGACAGTAGAGATGTTTTTTCCATTCACGAATATCATACGGACCTGCGCGTCACCTCTCTGAATCTACGGGCCGATGACCTCTCACTGTTTTGCATTCCTCAAAGGCACTAACATACGGGACACTTAGACTAGGCTTCTCACGCATACATCATTTTTCAAAACAATTCATTTATACGAAATATTAAGTGCGATAAATATGGAATACATCATAAATGTACCCACCTGATAGCAGCTACAGTTCAAATCACAAATCTCGAGACGAGGCGAGGTTCAACACCTCTCGACACCTACATTAAGTCCAGATACTAAAGTCAACACTTTAATCTAGACCTATGTAGCAAATTCACAAGTTGACTTAGCCAAACTCGGTTCGACCAAGTGGTTCGTGAAGTTCTGTGGATATGGGAACACTAGAACTTAGACTTGATCAAACCACACATTCGAGTTCACACAAAAGCAAGTGAAAGACAACAAACGAGCCACAAGCAAAACACATGGCACATTTGGTCATCAACACTTAACACATTTCAACATAGAGAAACAATTTCTCAAATTCACACTTGAATTAGAAGGCATATCAAATCAATGAGTTAGGTTCTGAAACTTTAACATAAATTTCACATCCCAGTTCTAAGTAAGATCACCCAATTTCAGCTTCAAACTCCTTATGCATAATTTTATAAACTTCAAACAAGTTTTTCAGCAAAAACGAGTTTAAATTAAAAGCACATGATAATTGACGATTCAGGCTATGAAATGTTTATCTAAAATACTACAGCATATGAAAAGCATCACATAAATTATCCAGCCTTCAACACTCAGGATAACAATTTTATAAAATTAAAACCACAATCAGCCAAATATCACAATTATATCAGAACTGATCAAAACTGAACTCCAAAAATTTTAAACTTTTTACAGAATGCTAAACATCATATAGTCAGCATCTCCACAAAGTTTCAGAATTTTTCAACTTCATAACCATTTATCATAATTAAAATAAATTCAGGCAGAATCACAAAATAATTTGTTAATCCTATCAAACCTAGTTCAATAATTCTAAAACTTTTACACCACATATAATCATGCCTGAAACATAACATACTCGAAAATTGGCCAGAAAAGAACACTACACAATTACTTATGCATTTTACAAGAAACTAAATAGAAAATAATTTAATTTTTAAAAATAGCTACACACCTTTAAAAATCACGAAAATATTACAGCAGCTACATATTCATTAAACACAGCTTCTCCTAAAATTTCAAGGCAACCGGACTAGTATTCGATTTATAGTGAATTTTTCATTCCTTATTGCAATTATAACATTCGAAAAATCATAACTACCAATTTACAAGCCCAATCGACACAAGGTCAGCGCCATTGTGTTCGAAATAATCCTAAGTTCCTAAATCCATAGCAACTTACCACTTATTATCAGTTCTCGCTCGATTCGTACAAATCGACGAGTTTCACATAAAATCACGACGATATAATATAACGAACAATAATATCACATCAAATCGCATCGTTTCTCAATTGCAAAAGACACGTTAACATCACTTCAACACATCAATTCCAAACAACACAATATATAATCGCTAAATAAATAGACGAAGAGTCGAGACTCCATACCGTTCTCGGGAATCGGGCGAGAAGGGTTCGAACGGGCTCGACGGCCCGACAGGGCTCGACGGCTACGTGCGGCTCAACGAGGAGAGAGCAGCGGAGGTCCTTCTCGGTTGTGGGGTTGCTGCGATGACCGAGGCGACCCGTCGGAGGTGCTGCTGCGGAGGAGGAGAGCTCGCCGGGAAAAGGAGGTTCGCAGGAAAGTGCTGCTGCTGCGAAGAGAGCTCGCGAATGGTGCAGGGGCTCACCGGAGGGAGGGCAGCGGCTGAACGAGACCTTCGTGAGGTGCTGCGCCTGAGAATGATGGCCTGCCGGTTGGTCGCGTGGGTGCTCGCCGGAAAGGAGATTATCGCGGCGGAGGACGGCTGCGCGGCGGAGCTTCACGGTGAAGAAGAAGCTGCAGGTGGGGTCGTTGCGGCGCTGCGTGTGGGTCGCCAGAGGAGGAGGTCGCGACGGCTTGCGAGCGGAGGAATGGGCGTCGAGGGCCTGTTGGAAATTTGCGACGAGGGCTCGAGGAGGTGCAGCAGACGGTTGCCGGAAGTCGGGGTTGTGCTACTCGCGAAGATGAGGAGTTCGCCGGGAAAAACTTTACGAGATGCTGGTTCGCGGCGGCGATGGAGGAGGAGGGTGGCGGCGATCTGTTCTGAACGGAAAACTCGCAAAGAGGCGTTGGGGATGGTCGGAGATGGTAGCTGGCGTCGATCGCAATTAGGTGAGTGGCGATTGGATTTATCTGACGAAAGAGAGAGACGAGAAGATTTTTCTCTTCTCTGCCGACGAGAGATCGAAGGATGATGATGAGGGATTTCAAATTTGCGAGAGAACAAGAATAAGGCTGCGTTGAAGAGAGTTTGGACAAGAGAAATCGATACAAACAATGTATATATATGCGTAATGATTAGGTCATTAGTCTTGACTCCCAAGACAAATTCACACGGGTCAGTCTGTTGGGCCAGTTCGACAATGAATCGGCTCACGGGCTCGGTTTTGGTTCACGCGGGTATTTACGGGCTCGATTAAATCGCACGATTAATTAAATAAAATAAAACCGGATACAACGTTTGTTTAATACACACATTATTTTTCAAAAAAAAAAACAATATCAATTATCAAAATATACAATTAAGAATAAATTTCAATTAGACAATTAGTAAAATCTTGACACTCAATAATAATAATTATAATAATAATAACAATATCACAAATACACATTTAGGCAATTAATTACAATTAGACAAATTAATACTATTTAGACATTTAATAAATAATAATAATAATAATAATAATAATCAAATAATCCACAATATAAAATCACAATTAAATGTGGTATTACAGGCGCGGCGCTGGGCAGCACGCGTGATGAAGATGTGGGTCTCGAGGCCCGAGCACGACGAGGGAAAAGGGCCGAGGAAAGGGCCAAAACCACACATGCTTGGCCTAAGAGACGGGTACAAGCCCGTATGCGAGGCACACAAGCACGAGAAGAGCGACATGAGTCGTGGACACGCGCGGGAAAAGGAGTCGATGACGAGCACGCAACGTTGAGCTCAAGAGGGATGAAGACGCGCGCTCGAGACCGAGCTTCTCAAGGATGGACACGGAGTAGACATATGGGCCTGGGCTTAACGAAAGTAATCCGGTCGAGCCCGAGGGTTGTCAGTGAAGGACGCGCATGGAGGTGCGCGAAGGCACGTGAGAAGGTGGTCCATAGTCGAGCAACATTTAGGCGCAAGACAGGGCCCTTTCCCAGATCGTCGCTTTTGTCCCATGGTGACAAGCGAACACATGCGACGGCCTAGACGTGCATGGATGAGACCATGCCTCAAATGGATGCGCCATCGGATGTTTCGGGATGCACATCGAAGGAGTGAAACCTGGTGGGGATGGCCAAAGCATCAAGTGGCTCGAAGGAATGGAAGGCACGCTAGTCAGGTGCCCAACACACGCGGCACGCGCGCATGGACGCGCGGACAGCGCGCAGGCGCACAGTGGTGGGCAGCACGCGCAGCGCGGGCGCAGGGCTGCCAGGGACAGCTCGCGCGGGTGACACTGCCGAGCAAGGAACCAAGGCATCTAGAGATCTTTTTTAGCTGAACCTTCTCTAGATTATTCTTGATTATTTCCCACATGTTTTAATAGCTTTCCTTAGCATGTTAGGACTTTGGTTTAAATTAGGATATTAGATATTTAGTTGCCTTAGGATTTATTTATTTACTTGCATTAGGAGTTCTATTTAGACTAGGATTAGATCTATTTGGTATCTATAAATACCCACCTATGTACCATTCAAAAATAATGGTTGATGAGTGAATAAAAAAGTTGAACATTGTGTTCAAAGTTCTCGTGTGTTTTCTCTTGTGAGTTTACATAGAGTTCGTGATAGAAATAGGACCAACATCCGAGTTTCGTCACAGTGATTGGAATAGGACCAACATCCGAGTTTCGTCACATTTATCGCGAAGTACGAAGGCGTCGGCACGCGTATTAGCAACCCAATGCGAAGGGACCAAGGCGTCGGCGCGGGTTTCGAGCGAGTCGAGGTAGACGTAACACACGATCCTTCATCATTGGTGCTTTCATTGAGAGTGATTGATCGTGTGTTGGGTTAAACTTTTTCTTCCTCATTCTATTTTCCCTTTTTCGAAATTATTCTTTTGTTTCGTGAGTATAAAAAAAAAAGAGAGTTGAGTTAGTTGCGTGATTGCGCAAGAAAAGAAAAGAAAAAAAAAATCATGTTCTTCGAGCCATTAGACGAGATTGAATGGGAGGATCTCGCAATATTGGAAGGGTTGGAGTGGATTAACCCCGTGGGAGGAAAAATATTTGGAGGAGTTGTACGAGCGAAAGAACTTCGAGGAGAAGTGTAGACGACAAACCAAGATCATGGAGGAGATGTTTCGACGCTAAGACGAGGGTTTATGCTTTACATGCGCCAAAAAATATGAGTCGGGCCATATTTGCAAGTCGAGTGTCGAGATCGTGGCCGAGCCAGCCGAGTGCGAGGAACCCACGTTCCCGTTTGATTTTCTGGGCTACTTTGAAGAAGTGACCGCCACGATCGTAATCGAGCAAGCTGCGCACAAGGTCGAGCCAATCGAGCACGAGGCCAATCGCATGAACGAGCAAGTCTCGACGGGTTTGGATGGACCGCATGTTTTCGATGTATACCCCGGCGAGTACTTTGTCGAGGTCGAGGTCAAAGGAATTCAAGCCAAGGTGGTCGAAGTAGAAGATGTGGTCGACGAGGCCGAGGAGGAGACTTTGGTCATGGTCAAAGCGGGCCATGGTGAGAAGACGCACGTAGAGGACAATGCGGATGAAGAGGTGGTGACGCCCCAATTGATGATCGATGACAAGTCCTTGAGGACAAGGACTCATTCGAAGGGGGGAGGAATGATGAAGATGTGGGTCTCGAGGCCCGAGCACGACGAGGGAAAAGGGCCGGGACGACCCGAGAAGGCCGAGGAAAGGGCCAAAACCAAGCATGCTTGGCCTAAGAGACGAGTACGAGCCCGTATGCGAGGCACACAAGCACGAGAAGAGCGACATGAGTCGTGGACACGCGCGGGAAAAGGAGTCGATGACGAGCACGCAACGTTGAGCTCAAGAGGGATGAAGATGCGCGCTCGAGACTGAGCTTCTCAAGGATGGACACGAAGTAGACATATGGGCCTGGGCTTAGCGAAAGTAATCCGGTCGAGCCCGAGGGTTGTCAGTGAAGGACGCGCATGGAGGTGCGCGAGGGCACGTGAGAAGGTGGTCCATAGTCGAGCAACATTTAGGCGGAAGAAAGGACGCGAACACATGCGACGGCCTAGACGTGCATGGATGAGACCATGCCTCAAACGGATCCGCCATCGGAGGTTTCGGGATGCACATCGAATGAGTGAAACCTGGTGGGGATGGCCAAAGCATCAAGTGGCTTGAAGGAATGGAAGGCACACTAGTCGGGTGCACAACACACGCGCACGCGCGCATGGACGCGCTGATGAAGATCGCGTGTCTCGATTGTCGATAAGCCACAAACCCGTGCCTTGAATCGCCGATAGGTGCCTCGTAGGTTCACACAACCGCTCCCCTTCGAAACGATAAAATTGCAAAAGAAATCAAGAAGAAATCTAAGGCAAAGTGTTTGAACAAAAGTTCGGTTTTTCTATTAATTTCTGAATGATGAAAAATAACAAGAGGAAGGGCCTTTATATAGGCATCAAATAGATCTATTCCTAATCTAGCTATAACTCTAATAAACCAATAAAATATGAAGTGTCCTAATCAATCTAGAAATCATAATGGAATAAGGAAACCAAATAACTAAGGGATCTTGAAAAGCCTTGGCTTGCACTCCAAGCAAAAAATCCCAACCGCCCTACTTACCGCCTTTGGACCCCCGCACGCCTTGCCTTAGTCCTCGAGGACTAAGGTCGCGTCGCCCGTACTCGCGCGTGCCTCCCCGCCGCGCGACTTGTTCGTGTCCTCGCGCCCAGCGGCTTCCCCGCGCGCGTCCCTGCCACCCGAGGCTTTATCGTGCGCGTCCCTCGCGCCAGCCGCGTCGTGCCACTCGCCTCACCCCTCGCGACCGCATTTTTGCTCATGCGCTAGCCGCGCGCTCTCTTCCGCCGGGTCCCCCTCGCCGACCGCGCATGTCCCGCACGCGATGGCTTGCGTCTCACCCGCCTGCCGCGCTAACCTCTTGCGCGCATTATAGGCCCGGGTCGAGGCGTTTTTCAGCTGCCTAGCCACATCTGCATCATTCCCGTCCCCTTCAAGCGCTTCCTTGTCCTCAAGGATGAAATCAGGGAACTGTTTGCGCATTTCCTCTACATCCTCCCAAGTGACTTCTTCTGATGGCAGCTCCTTCCACTCGACAAACACCTCCCAACGATAACGTCCAGCCTTCCATACTTGGCGATACTCGATCGCACGGCTTGGCCTTACGATTGCCCGCCCATCTGTGGCTGTCGCGGGTAGTTCCTCGCACCACTTGTGCGCTTCACCCAAACTTCTCTTGAGTTGCGAGACATGTATGACCGGATGAATGTGCGAACTCTACGGCAGCTCTAGGCGATAAGCTACTTGCCCTATGCGCTTCAAAATCTGGTAGGGCCCGTAATAGCGCACCCCAAGCTTAGTCGCAGCCCTTTGTGCCGTCGTGCGTTGTCTAAAGGGCTGCAGTTTCAAGTAGATATGGTCACCTGGCTCGAAACTTTCCTCGCGCCTTTTACCGTCATGAAAGGTTTTCATGCGGTTAATTGAGCCTTCGAGAGTTTTCTTTATTTCTCGTAACATTAAGTCTCTCTCCTCAAGTTCTTGGCCTACTTCATCGTTGATCGCAACTCCTTTTGAATAATTCACGAGCGTAGGTGGTTTGCGCCCGTACACAAGCTCGAATGGCGTAGCCTTGGTCGAGCCATGGTAAGTGGTGTTATACCAATATTCGGCCCATGGTAGAAAGTTTTCCCACTTCTTCGAAAATTGATGCACATAGCATCGTAGGTATTGCCTAGCGTGCGATTAGTCACTTCGATTTGACCATCCGTCTGTGGATGATAGGCAGAGCTCATCGACAGCTTGGTCCCTTGAAGTTTGAAGAATTCAGACCAAAAGCTACTCATACAAATCTGGTCACGATCAGACACAATCGACTGTGGCACCCCGTGTAGCTTCATGACATACTCAATGAAGAGCTTGGCGATAGACTTTGCCGTGTAGGTATGCGTGATCGGTATGAAGTGCGCGTACTTCGTCAGCCTATCGACCACGACCATGACCCCATTGAACCCATTAGAGGTAGGTAG